ACGAGTAATAACTGCCAAATGCAATATGAAAAATTGAAAAGCAATGACAGTGATCAGCCCGAAGAAAGAGTAAAAACCCAGCGTTTATAAGACAGCATTTCAACAATTCCATGTTATCCTAATCCGTAGCTGCTTTTTGAATGTTTACACATGTGTCAACAATTATTTATTGTCTGTATCAACCCTCAAATAAGTTTCTTTTCTTATAAAATGATGTATGATTAACAAATCCAAATGATATCCATCTGAATCAAACACAATTATTTTCATCTCGTTTAATACACAACTTTTATAAATGTCGGTCGCTTATATTCAAGCCTGGTCTAATATAAATTCGCTGTAAGTAACGGAAAAAAGTTCGAATGGTGTGACTTTTTCTTCTACTAGAATTGTTTGTTTTTATTTTTAAAACAACGGATCATTCATGTTTTGGAATGAAATAAATGATATCATCGCCATTTAACGTTGATTTTCGAACTTATTTTTTTCAGCTCAAGACTTCTTGTAAGTCCACAAAATGAGGCTACCAGTGAGGAAGCAGATTTTAAAATTAAAGTTTACATTGAGAACATTTCATTTAAACTTGTTTTTAAGCATAAAATAAAAATGAAATTTGTGTGCTTGTTGTGTAAGATGTAATTTTATTTCATCTTATGATCTTTAAAAACGGTATTCTCCCTCGTGGCTACGCCACTTGTGAGAGTACTGTTTCTACGTTCACTCGCTGAAATAAAATTTCATTTTACACACAAACATACAAAAATCCTATATTTCTTCTTTAAGCGTAGTATTGTATGGCATCATTTTGTTTGTCTACGACATTTCGCAGTGTTTGTTCACTATAATGGGGGCTATTTATTTCTGTACAAATGTTTGAATTGAAAATAATTGATTTATAGAAATAAAAGAAAGATCGTTAAAGTTGGTATTACTGTCTACTACTTAATGTTATATATGGACACTAAAACATAGTCTTGTTTGAATAAGCATGCCAGGTGCTTGAGGTTAATCATTAAAATGTGAGATTATATTGGCTATTCTATTTGTTTTCATCTCTTCAGTTAGGTGTCCCATAAAATTTCTTTATAAAACTATAGAATCAATCGAAATAGATACTTGCTTTTTGCAAAATGAATAAGTTGGGAATAAAGTCAATAATGTTCAGATTTATAGAGACTTCAGAGATTCAAATAGTTTATTTGGTAAACATAATGTTTCTTGTATATAGATACATAAAAAGAACATGAAAATTAAAATTTAGCTTTTCAGCTTTTTAAATATTTAATTCTTCATTAATATGCAAATGCCAAGTCAATTAAATAAAAACAAACATCATCAAAAAACTTTGAACCTTTTCATAGATACATAATTTTACATTGAAATCAATATACTTGGCCGATGAATTCAAACCCCTTTACCATGTGGTTTAAAATCCAATGACTTTAGATTCTTGCATGTAGAGAAGCTATCCTGCTAGCTTACGGAAAAACCGTGGTTCTATTATGGTGCATGTTCGTGCCTGAAATAATGAAGGGGCACCGGATGTCTTCCTCCACAGTAAAGCTGGAAAGTCGCCATATGACCTATACTGTATAAGTGCGATATAAAACCAAGTAAAAGAAGAAAACAAAAGAAACAAAGATTGTCAATATTGAATATTGAACAATTAAATACATGAAACTGTACGAAGATGTTATGGATATCGGGTGTACCTTTTATATTCATTATGACACTTTTGTTTAAACATAATTCTGGAAACAAAGTGATCCCTCGGAAGCATTAATCACAACAAAATAACATGAGAATTGCAGACTCGGTTTGATTGAGTCTGTACATGAGGGATAATGAATAAGTGCAACATCCCTCACGCCCCCTAGCACCGGCTTGAGCGGTATTCAATTCTCAACTAAGCCTAAACATAAAAATTCACTGCGAGATTTAGGCCTTACATTTAGAGTTTAAAGGAGGAGCTCTTTTGAGGTCATGTAGCCTAACACATAAATTTAAAGTCTTACATAGATCGAGTGAAGTACTTAAAATGCAAACATCTGCAAACGATAATTAAGAAATGCCCCCAGAATTAAGTTAGATATCGAATTTGTGTGCGATTCTTAACCGAATTTGTGCGAAAAGCGTTGCAAAAATTTTCATTTTGGGATCATTTTTTTATACTGAAATTATTTGTTCTGCCAAAAACTGGGCGAGGAAATGATCTTTCATGCAAATAAACCTTAGTGAAGTGACAGTTTTTTAATGATACGTTTTTGTGGTAGACATTTAAACATATTTCCCTTAAAAAAATTGTTAACGACTATTTTTAAAAAGTAGGTTAAGCCCCGCTATAAACAATAGCTCAGTAGCCGCGGTGCAATGAAAGCCAAGGGAAATACTAAAACATAAAAAAAAATCTTAATAGAGATATAATAAATAAAGTTAAAATCTGCATTTTAAGAGGAGTACTTATCGTATTTAAGGTCAAGGGGAGGAGCTATAAAATATAATGCCAACATGGTATAACATAGGCTGAGTATCTTATTTCTATATTTACAATGATAAAACAAAAAATATGATAAACAAGATCGACAAGGAAAGGCGGCATTCAATGAACGCAGCCCCCATCCGACCCAGCAACAAACTAACATAAACATATCAAACATGAACTGGTAAGCGCGAATGTAAAACATGTGCCAAGCATGTATGGCCAGTTAAACAAAATGCGTATTGCCATAAATTATGTGAAACATATGGTTCTCACATTTTGTCTAGTTATAACCTCTATTTATAACATGCTTTTCAGTGGACATTGAAATCATATCTTATAATTTCACGGTTAAATTATAAGATATGATTTTCACATTAGCCGGACTACACTTGAAGATGAAAGAATATAACTTTAATTGGAAATTCATGCCGTCGTGAGAAAAATGCGCTTAATTAAGAGAAGCACATGAATATTTGCACACGTAGAAAATTTATTTGCTTTATTTGTACGATCAAATAATACTTTACTCGTGAACACGAGATAGTTCTTACATTTTTAATCTTGGCTACGCTAATATGCAAAACAAACAAATATCATCTATTTACTGAAGGTGTACAAATGAATAAATAAAACAACACCTAATAGGATCAATTTATACCTTAGACATTTAGCTTTAAAAAATGGTATTGAACGGTGCAGAACGCAAAGAGTATTTTATTATACAAATTACTACACATAGACAGAAACACATGTTCTGCAAAACTATATTGTAGAACAATTAACAAAGCGAGCTCTTCAGATCTAAATAAGCAAAGTCGATCATTAATCCCATTAACAATTCATCACGTTAAACCCCAGTCACACTAGAGCTTACGATTACTTGCGACCACCGCCGACTTGTAAAACTGACGATCATCAGCGATTGTCTGCGACCGAAACCATTTTTGCACAGATAAATTTACTTTTGCGAGTATCGTAAGACAAGTCATCATTGACAATCGCACGACGGGTCATAAGTAAACGTACGATGGTCTCAAGATTGCGTGGGATTACTTACGACTACCCGTGACATAACATGCGATCACCTATAACTTGTCGTACGACCATCACACGATTACTAAAGACTACGTAAGATTATCAATGACTAGTGGCGATTTGTAAAGACTGTCGTAAGATTGTCGCACTTCCGAACGACCATCGTGCGACAGCCTTAAGACCTTAAGATCACTAGCGACCTATTTGATCGCAAGGAGGTTTTTGTGCAAGCTCAAAAACCTCTCTACGACTGAAATTGGTCGTGCGACCTAAATAAGATAACATGCGACTGTCAAAGATCATCGATGACCGTCGTAAGACGTTTTAAAGATTGTCCGCGACCAGAGGTCACTGGTGATCGTGAACTGGTCTTCACTGGTCGTAAGCTCTAATGTGACTGGGGCTTTACTTTTATACCATTTTTAAGATTGCATACCATATCATTATATGTCATTTACTGAAAATTAAAGCAACACATTTTAGAAACTTTTAGATATTTCCCCAGGGAACATTATGAAATCCTATAATTGTTATAAAGATAACGATATTTGTGATTAGATAAAATATTTATATAAAACATTTGAAAATGCTGGACATTATTTTGTACAACAGATATGATATTGTCGACTTGATTCACTGTCCACAAAAAAATGATTTGGAGTAATCAATCCCAAATAAAAAAAAAACACTTTAAAATCTAAATATACATGTATAATCTTTGGCACATTTATTATTTGTTCAAATGCAATTAATTTTAATTCACAAGAACATTTTAGAATAGGCTTTGATATGCCAATATTGAAGGTCCAACTGGGTATGCATTATTAAATCCCAATCAAATGGAGACAGATTACAATAAGGCTCAATCAAGTGGTCGAATGACTGTAGAGAGAGTTTTTAGGATGTTAAAGTAAAGATTCAGGTTTGGATAATTGTTATGTGAACAAAAAAAAGAAATAAAACAGGGATAGGAAAGTAAGTTTTAGACATCAAGAGCTTGGGACGTAATTTATAGACACTTAGATCAGCCCTGTTCACCCAAACAAATATGCTGACACACACTTATGGTCCTTCTAAAAACGCTTGTCGCGTTAGATTACTTGTAAGAATTTCAAACATACAATATTATATTTTTATATGAGTGGTACTATTTATGATAAATTGCATCATAGTTTTGTGATTTTTCTTCTTTAAATGTGTGAGAGTAAAATTGTAAACCCACACAACCACAGATTGTTAACTGGACTGTAGGGATAGGTTATCCTACTTCAGAGCATGCTCGTTGATTGGCTCATGTTTTCTGGGGATTTACTTATTGTGATGACAGGGAAAGGGATAACGAAGAAAAGTCATATTTGGATGCTCGTACATTGGTTACTTTTTCTGGGGTTTCATATTGCGACGGCAGGGAACGCGTTTTCAATGTTGCCTTTGATACAAAAGAAAAATAACACCAAACGACTCCGCAATCTAATTTATTACTAATTTGTTACTTATTACATTCGAAGGAGAGAGTTCCTTAAAAACATTATAGCTGTCAACTCATTCCATTTTCTTGTATTTGATTGTAATTATATTGAGTATATAATTATGTTTGATTGAAGTAAAATCAACTACAGTAATTTGTTTATTCGTGATACAGTAACAAAACTAAATGAATCACTAACATTCATTAATCAAACAAAGTTCTATTATATCCAAATAATTTAAAATCATACTCATACACAGAAATTATGTCATTCAACAAGTCCTTTGGTATTTTCCTGTATGCATCTAGCATCATTGTCCGTTTTTGTTTTTTTATATTGATACCCAATTTTTTTTGATTTTCTATAGTACTTAAGACAAAATCTGTAAATATTTCAGTCGTGCTATTGAGAAATGCTGTCTTGAGCAAATCATTCCTCGGGAAAGCCGTTCGTCTGTCTATATAGCCGTTATATTGAAAAGCTAACCACAGTCTCTTAGCAACATCGATTTTTTTGAAACATCCTTGTCGAATGGCATTTTCTAAATCAAAATTATATTTTGTTAAAGTTGTAACTTCTTCATGAACCATATCTAGTTTTGTTGTATTTTCCTTTAGAGATTGTAAATTAAACTTAGTCAATATGTAGTCGGCATCTAATCCAAACGATTCTTGTTTACCGATGACGTCATATTGCACGTGACAAGGGCTACACACCTTGTGCAATCTTTGCCAATGCTCATTCAATCCATTTTTATACGTCAGCTTTATAAATGTGAGAAACTCCTGAAAAGTTACATTATTTGCACAATATCTTTCATAATCTGTGGCATTTGGTCGAAGTTTTTTCACAACAAGCAAAGCGTCCGATCGCCAAAAGTCGGGAAGAAGAAACTTGTCTATATATGCTGACCATAACCTTGTGAACGGATCACGAACAAACATAAATGACTTTCCTTTTGTCATCAGCATCCGAGCGATTGGATTTTGCACCTTCCACTGTTGAATGTTTTTCATGGGACCGTAATGTACATAATTTCTATTTATGTCTGAGGGCTTTTGTACATTTTGATCTGTCCGGTAGTCTTTCCCTAGAAAACGAAAAATACGTTTCCAGAATGTACACCCAACCTTTGGGACTATACAATAATGTATATCCTCTTTTTCATATGTCAAAACTGTGCCACTCTGACGAATGTTCTGCCAGTATTCATCTTGCATGTAATGCGAACATCTCTGACGTATTAATGATAATCGTTCTTTCATAATTGTATCCTTTTCTTGAAATTCTGGACTTCTATTTGTATTACCAGATGAACTTTCTTTTTGTTTTGTCAATGATATGTCTTCTTGCCACATTAATTGTGTTTTTGTTGTCAAATTTTGCAATGCACCGTCTGTTTCTTTTATAACACGTACACTCGTATCCTGAAATAGAATAAATAAATGAATGAATGAATAAATAAATAAATAAATAAATAAAAATAAATAAATAAATGGACATTTTCCGGTCGAGGAAATTTAAAGGCACTTTATGTCTCAGAAATGCACATTTTTGTCAATTCTTAAGAAAAATCAAATATGTGTTTGATAAAAATTAAATAATGTATTTAGACCACACTGAGGGAATTAATGTGCCATAAAGTAGCAAAATGTAAACAAAGTAGTATTTTGACTTCCATACAAAATACTCATTCTCTATAACCATACCAATAACCAAGAAAAAAACAAATACAGAAAAAAAGGAAAAATGGGTGCTAAAATGTATTAATATTTGAACAGTGTAAAATGATACCAAAAATAAACGTTTCTGAGAAATGAAAATGATTGCATTATTTGGCTTTGAATGATGTTTGGAATAGAAATAATGATTCTTGATACATATAACTTCAAAAACATTCTTTTTAATTTAAACTAGATTTATACAATGTTATAGAGGAATTATAAATATTACATTTTACTTAATTTATTGACTTGTGTTCAGGGTGTAAGTCATTTAGCATAACCTGTATCTTTATATAAACGAGTGTGAACATTTAATAAAAAAACTCATTTAAAATTTTCTTCTGGCGTTTCATGCAATTATAAATAATGTATTTGTCACGTCGAGACAGAACGTGGGTGAAGCGGAATTATCTACTGTTCATTAAACAAATCTGAATATATAGAAGAAAGTTAAATCATACCCTCATAAGTCAGAACATAAATTTGAATGCTTTTCATACTCCTGATGTTCAACTTTGATTAAAACCCTCCACAATTAGTTATGCGTTTTTGTTGTAACAACTGACATAGAACAATTCTTAGTGAAACGCTACTAATTTAAAACATGAATTTGAATATTTTTCATACTTCTGATGTTGAACTTTGAAAACTTTGAATGGACCCTACCCCCAACACACATTTATTTACATGCTTATTCGTGTTTTTGTTGTTGCTATTTTATTTACTTCGCTGGTGTTGTTAGTTTTTTAAGTGATGAAAGCTCTTGGCAAAATGCATGTAACATCATGCAAACCTTTATTATATTATACCGGTATCTCCTATATCTCATATATATGCACCTGGATAAATTTGATTTAACAGACGTTGGTTTTAAAGGATCTCCACCGAACTCAAAAGCCTTAAAAATCAATTTAAATTTCCTACATAGATCAAGTGGAACATTTGAAACAGGCAGATATGCAACAAAAATACAATAATAATGAATTTATTGCATCGCTGTTCAATATTGGACAATTTATTTACAATTAGAATAATTATTCTAAAAAAACAAGTGTAGGCATGATCTGAAATTTTGCACACAAGGACCTCCATCAAATGGAACATAAAGAAAACAAAAAGATTTCCAGTCGAGGATAAGTATAGAACATTTCTAATTACAAACATCAAAGAGAAATATAAATAGCTTACAATGTCGGCACTGATTAACGATTGCTGGGACGGATCTTCTTGGAATAAAGAAGAATCTGCAAACATAGAATAAATGTAAATTTAATATATAATATCGTAACATATGATTGATACAAAATTCAACAACAACAACAATAGCAGCAGCAACAACAACAGAAGCAAAAACCCATAGACTTTAGCTGTTTTATGCATCAAACATTAAAGTATGAAAAAAAAAAACATAATTAATTTCAGTACAAAGTACAAAGACATTAAAGCTAAAGGTAGTTAAGATTCAAAAATAATAAAAAAGGTAAAACAAAAGACAAACATTAAGCGTAATAAGAAATATTTTAGAATCTTATTGTAAATTTTCTAGGCAATTTTATTTTTTATAAATCTAAACAGCAATTTAATTGTATGTTTTTTTTTCTATTGGTTATAGTTCCGTTCGAAAGGTAAACATATGCTACATAAAAGCTAAAAGTTAACATGTATTTCATTGACTTCATATTGCTGATTTTATTGAAATAGTTTGGCTTATCTAGAGGCATGCAGCCATTAAATATCATCAAATGTTGATAAAATTATGACTTGATTTCACTTTTCTACGGACAGTTCAACAAAAAAGAAAGGATGGTGCGTCTTAGCCAAAGACAAACAATTAAGCCGTCAGAATAAAATACACAACACATCATTGGTTCATTGTTGGAATAGTCAAATTATTGAAGACATTTATTCAAAACACAATTTGTGGAAATTGTATTCATTCATTTATTTCAAGTTTATTTCAATCATTAGATCGTCTTTTTTTATACTTTTATTCTAATTAAAAAAGTCTGAAATTGTTCTTGTTCTATTTTAATAATGCTAATTGTCTTGATTATAACAAGTGTATTCTTATTTACAACTTATGTCAAATAAATTATTTTGTCGTTCCTCTCAGGAAAATAATTCTGTTTTACTTATAGTTTTCTTTGTATGCACCAAATTTTGCTTGTTTGAATTGTGTATGTACAAATATGTATTAATGTAATTGTAAATAAAATAAGATATATAATGCCACTGCTATAAGAATTGTTAAGATACTGTTTCTTTCTCTTGCTTTTGGGCAATTTTCTACATTACTAACTAGAGGGCAAGGACCTTCCTAGGCATGCCGTATTAAATATGAAAGACATCGAGTTAAAAGAAAAAAAAAATAAATCTATTTTTACATCAATGACCTTGACTTGCCAGAATAGGAAACCATACAAGGTCCTATTTTCAAAGTGATAAAAAGGAAAATAACTGGAACAAATGGATTGCACAGTTATATAACTTTGAATATGATGTACTTTGTATGGATAAGTAAGTATGGAAATTTTAAAGCCACTAGTATAGATAGAAATTTAACATTTTCAAAGCGCTGGAAAAAGGTTTGTTTTGCATTTTCTTACTCTCTTAAAAATGTTTGTGCTATAATAATCGAAGATCATACAAAGTTTAGATTAATTGCAATATATAAAGGTCTTTTTTTCTGGCTGCCTATATGTCGATATGTAACTGTAGCATATGCCTTTGAGGATTTTAATTTTATTGTTATGACATAAACATCATGTATTTTACTTTAGACAATAATTGCTTACACACAATATTAACACATACATTAACAAATATTAAATGAATAAAATATCAAATATGAAAAAAGTAATAACGCATTTATGATATTAGAGTCATTACATAAAAAAACATCAACATGTCATTACTTATATTGAAAATTAGACAACAGCTTCAACTTTTCTACTTTGGACAGGAACAATTAAAAAATGACACTGGCCCCGTCTTCACAAAGATTTAAGGATCAGGATCAAGATAAGGATCAAATCTAAAAACTCAAATATTCTCCACCGTTTATCCTCATAGATAAATGATAAAAAAAGGCCTTGAAATAGAATATTTATGAAATTTTAGAATAAATCTATTGTTATTTTTGCAAGATATAGACATTTTACAGTTGATCCAAATATTGATCTTGATCCTAAAATTGATCCTTATTTTGATCCGATTATTTTTGTATTTGTTTTATTATTCATCAATTTTATCCCAAAATTGGTTTGTTTCTTTGCAAATCAGCAATTGTTTACATTTTGAATATGTAGCATTTAATTCTAGCAAAATATGATCAATATAAATTATATAAAATAAAGTAAAGAAAATCAGGATCACTTGATCCTGATCTTTTTTTTACTGAAAACAGGGCCAGACTCTACAGCATTCATGTTACTTGATTTCTGTCTCCCTTCTCCACGAAGAAAATCTTAAACGTGAAATAGCTATTAACATTTTAATGTATGCTATACTATCAAGATACTTATCTTTCCCAAATGTGCATTTAATTAAACAGTACGTGACAGGTTTATTTGAATTATTAATTTCTGAAAACCAATATAGCATGTCGATGATTATAAAATAGATAAGAAAAAACTAATCTTGTCCTATTGCCTTGGCGAATATGTCATCTGCCGGTGAATATCACATCATATTCAATGGCTCACTAGTCAGTAATTGTATAGTAATAGAAATATGAATAAATAGTCAATATTGTGTAAAATATTTAGTTCAGCGTTCTCTAAAAAAACACATTTCACGAGTTATCATTTGTACAACGGATATTATTCCTCATTTTAACAGCATATTTATTTTGACAAATTAAATATTGTTTAGAGCAAAATGTCACCAATGACAAATAAACTATTAAATCGTCTGGTAAAATGAAAACTGAATATCAAATCACAAGCGATTAAATGGTGGATAAGTTCTGTGGCAGATTTGGCCTGATATGTTTTGTTATATGATTATGTAAGCAGAGAATGCAATAATTAAAAGTAATTGATATGAAAAACACACAATTATTTCCTTGGAAACGAAGACGGTGATTTGGTTTAAACATTATTTATACAGCATTACATTTAACATGTAAACAATATTTACAAAACATTTTGGGATTGGACAGAAAGCTATAGAGCTTATGAGTGTCCTCAATTTACATTGGCACAGTTCAAAGCATTATCATACACAACGGTTAGTTGAAATATTCAACGGCATACACATAATAGTCAAGTTTTTTTTTTACAATGAAACAAAGAGCAAAAAGTATAAAGCAAAAAAGAGAAAAAAATGATTGAAAAATAAAGCAACCCTATAAAAAAGACAAAGTGATATTTTAGTATTTTTTTCGTTTTAGAATTTAACAAAATAGACAAAATAATATCTTATTTGATTGCTTATAGTTGCATATTAGCAGATACACAAAATAGAAATCACTGAATATTTAAAGAATAAAAAAGATATAAGAGAAAGGGAGGAAGAAATTGATGAACAATGATGGAACAATAACAAGGAACTCAGATGCATAATCTAGTAACTATCCAATATGTTTAGACATCTCTGATCTTAAGTACGCTCAAGGCGTTTTTTTTTTATCTCTGATATAGTTTTGAACTGATTTAAAGATTGATACATAAAAATCATAAGATAAAGTTGTGGAACCGGTACGAATAGAATTGATTGAAGGAATATAAAATTGGGAATAGTCCTTATAAATTCAGGTCGTAGGTTAGTATATTTAGAGCATCCAAGAAAGCATTTTCTCTCGCACCGGAGAGTTGGAAATACTCTTATCAAAAAGACGGCAGAAAGTGAACTACATTCTTTCATGAAAAAAATGTAACTTGCTCTCACCGCAAAGAAAATGGACATGTACCCTTGGCATATAAATATTTAGAAGTCGCTTAAATGACGTTAACGTTTTAGCAGTTTGTATTTGAAATGGAAGAGAGTTGTAATCACAACAAATAGTGATTTATTAAAGGATATAAAGACACTAATTTGGAAGTATATTTATGGATATTTACGATTTATTGCCTTATAATAGACAGCTTAGAGAACTTAAATCGTGATATTTTTCATTCTATTTGATTAGGCGGTTCACCTATTTCAATTTACGATCCTCTTTCATTTTTATCAGTTATTGCTTATAATGAAGAGGCAGATGAAAAATTGTTATATTCATTTCTAACAAATGAACTATGGAATTGAATAAAAACTATTAGAAGCAATTGAAGGTTTCTATCAACTGATAAAAGAAGAAATTCAGGTTCACAAAACAACCATTTTTTTCCTTAAATAAAATTTTCATGTTTCAGGGTTTCTTAAGGTAAATAGTTGTTATCTGGATATAAATTATTCTTAATAGAATTTACGGTGTATTTAAAGAAAGATGATATGATGGTGTTAATTTTTTTTTTTTTTTTTTTTTTTTTTATTGGGGGGGGGGGGGGGCACTTAAAATCTTTAAATCATTGAGAAAATGTTTGTTTTTTATTGGTAAGATTGCTGTCAGACAGCAAAATAACCTCAAGCACGGAAAGTCAGATACTGTACTTTTTCTTGTGCTGAATAATCCTTTATGCATCGTTGTTGTTGTTATTGTTGCCGTTGAAACTGTTTTTTTTCCAGTTATACATATCTCTTTTTGGCATTTTTAAGAACATTGAAGGCTTCCGAGGGATCACTTTGTTTCCAGAATTTTGTACTTCACAACAGCAGGTGTCAAGTGCCGTGCGGCAGCTGTAAAAAGTTGCCCCGTACTTCACTTCAGTGTTGTTATATTATCTGGTCTTTCGGGATCATTGATGCCAACACTATAAAGTGTTGAGGATTGAGTACCGCTCAAGCCGGTGCTAGGAGGCGTGAGGGATGTTGCACTTATTCATTATCCCTCATGTACAGACTCAATCAAACCGAGTCTGCAATTCTTATGTTATTTTGTTGTGATAAATGCTTCCGAGGGATCACTTTGTTTCCATGCAAAATCACATCATTAATTTGTTAATATTTACTTATCACAGGCCGCTTCAATACTTAATAAAGATGTTTATGCTTTGCAAATATTTATTTATGCGTGAAAATGTTTTCAAGATACTCAAAATAACTACATTAAGCATCTATTAAAGCTGAACACCTCCATTGTGTTAATTATATGATAAATAATAAATAATAAAATTAATTGAATAAAAAATAATAAAGGATAAAAATAAAAAATGTTGTAAAACGTTTGTCAAGTGCAGCATTGCGTGACTTTTAAAACGTGTTGACTGTAATATACTCGTATATTCTAGGTTATTCCTCGTAAACTACATGCCTAAGGATAGAATCCAAAGCTTATCGAATATTTAGACGTGCGTTATTTATAATGCATTAAATAATTAAATAACAGATCAATAAAATCTAACTACAACTAAATCGACAGAAAATCAATATATAATCGATTGAAATATATCATTATCAACCATTTCAAATTTAACTACTCATTCAATTCAATTTAATTTCAATTTAATTCATTTATTCCACTCAGATCATGCAAGCATGACGTCATGAGGTAACAATATATTTACATAATAGATGAGGCTTCAGAATCAGACAGTATCATTATAACGCGATATATGAATTATTAACTTAAATATTGCTGGAGAATTTGCAATTGCATGTTAATACACAGTTCTGACATACTCAGAAGAGCTATTTTAGAAACATGTTTATCAAGTAAAAATACTTATAAGCAGAGTATGCCTCAGAAACGAATCTTTTTGCCTTGTTCAGAAAAGACACAAATGAGTTTTAAAACAATTAAAAAATTGGTTAAAAGAATTTTATATATCTTTCACCTGAGCAAAGAAGCTACAATATTGAAATAATTTGTCATAAAAATAGTAAAATGTTAACATAGTAGTATTTTGACTTCCATACGAAATATTACGTATATAAAACTGTACTAATTGCAAAAGGTAGCAGCGGCAAATGATAGCTCAGGTGATAAGTCTAATAAGTAACTCTAACAGGGTACCAAAATATAAAAGTTTCTGAGAAATAAAAATAAAAGCATTTCTAAGGCATAGTGGGCCTTTAATAATTCAAATACTTTCAACAGAGATTACCTTCAACATAATTTACAACGTTACAAGTAACCCAGAAACTTGATTGTAAAAAAAAACATGTAGCACATCCTGATTTATTTGTATCTTTTAAAGTTTGCATATCATAAAAAATGTAAACACACATAAAAGCTATGTTCAAGTCGTATGAAATGTTTTATAACTTTTGAAATGTTTTATTATTTTTGTATAACTATTGTCATACCAGGCTTTTTAGCATCTTAATCCTAACAAAATGCAAAATCATGAAGGAACGACGAAGTAAAACATTTTCGTTTTCGCCTTTGGCATCACCGCCTTTTTTCACTGTATTGCCACATTCTTTACAATCCGGTTGTTCAAGCGTATGCTCACAACATTAGGAACGGTGAGTGCTTACAAAATGTGACAAAGATCGTAAATCAAATGTAAAATCATTGTAGTTAACATACTCGTTATATTTGACTCTATAACTACAGCGTGAGTTGACTTATGGCACATGTGAAATAAAAATTGGCATGCTGGAACGTATTGATGTGCGAGGATGCGATGGGCAAAAAGACAAAAGCAATATAAATTATGCAAAAATACGAAAATATGACAAATAAGAGGTATACACGCGAGACATATTTTGTCGCATAATTGCGAAGTGTTTTCGTCTACTAGCTTTTTCACCTTGAAATTAAAAGATGCAAAAATACTCAGGATTACAAAGTCAGAGTTTGTCCGCTGTTCGAACTCTTAAATGGCGAAAAGCGAAAATACGAAACGATGAAATGAAGTAGATATTGAAAAAGAAATTGAAAACAAGATATTTGGTAAAAGAATATCCAAAACAGAATAAATCAAACTGACATTGAAAATGATAACATTTTGCATCAGGTGGGCATTACTTTTTCAATGTTAAATGATATTAATAAGATCTTTTTTCTCAATATGTCACCAAGTTAGAACTTTCTTTTGTTAAATGGTTGTTAGTATTGCTGTTATTTCTCTTTTACATGCTATTGCATAACATAGCATAGTATATAACATAATAACATAACCCAAAGCATAGCATAGCATAACATAACAATAAATGTAATTACATTCATAGTCATATCAAATCGCATATTAAACAAACATATAAAGAGCAAATATATGATTAACAAAGGATTATTTTGTAACAATATCTCTTACATTTCAACATTTTCTGTAATTAAGTGAACATTAATATTAGACCACCTCTGTCAGAAATAATTTCTTAACAATTTCTTGTCTGGAATTTATTGCAAATAAGAAGCTTTATAAATGAATTTACTTACATTAATAGTATTTTTAGTCTATAAAGTGTCACATTCATTTCTCTTTATGCGTTAAATTTTTAACGCATATTTCTGCCAGGTTTGTTCATTTGTGCCTTAAATATGATATTTATGATTCTCAATCAATAAATTAATCAAATAGAGATCGTTAAAATAAACACATTCTTATTTATTGATACAACCATCCTGTCTGTTATATTACAAGTATATTTTCGGTTATTTAACTTTATCAAAAATATGTTTTATGCAAAAAACGATATGATATAATGTAACATTTGTATGCTTTGATAAAAACGGTTTAATTTGATCTAAAACAAAAATAAACTGTTACATACCATTTTTGATAAAAGTAAATACTAAGCACATTATGATTATTGTTTGTCCAATTAACAGTGCTTTAGAAAAACCACCCTTTTGTAATCTCACTTTAATAGCTGAAGATTTCATCAAGTAGATACAGTACACTACTTTATGTTTCAAATACAGAATACTATCCCCACTGCCTTTTAATAGTATTAAAATATCGCACAAGTATGGGAATAAATCCGCTTCAAATAAAACGTTAGCTTCGAGTGTTTCGCTATTCCTTTCATTATCTGTTCTGGATAGGGGCGTCGGCAATTTTTATACAAAACATACTATTTATCGTCTAAGTATTTTTTTTACAATCAGCCTTTAATTTTTAAGCGTAAACTGTCCGCTTTGATAATATTCTGTAGTGATTCTGGTGCAAATCATTTTTTGTCTTCTATTTTTCGAAGTAAATGGGTTTTAGGTTCCTCGTGAATACCGTACCCATAAATACATTTGAAAACATTAAAATAGAGAAAATAAGAATCCCTAAAGAAAGCCCAACACGGCAAAATTGAAAATGTTGCAGACTCGGTTTGATTGAGTCGGTACTGTCAAGTGCAAACTACCGTCCACGCTCCCTAGCACCGGATTAAGCAGATTTCAACATTTTAACATGAAATGGTAAAATGTTGAATTTAGAAATATCCACAGATGTGTTCATACGGCGGTTATCATGGAACCTTCAATATGACACAGTAGTGCCATTTCATGAAAAGCGGTATATGATCCCCAAGTAATAAAAAGCGTGTGCCCTATACGAGAAAACAATGGGCAGAACTAAACAAAAACAGTTTTCAACAGAGGTGCTTTCAATAAATGACGTCAACGCAGTCGATAACTCACTCAGTCCTGTACTGAATTTCACAATAATTAACAATGGAAGAATATAGATTTTTAGTGCCAAATGATTAAAAACGAGGCTCATGAAATAGTAGACAAATACTTTATTCAAATAGGTGTAATGTTAAAAATTTCAAATACAATAAATTTTGCTCAACCTTTTCAGCTTCAACTAAAGACATGATAAAATGAGTGTAGGTTCAATACTGGCTTTACTGAACGAGTTGAATAAAATTATATTATGCAAGTCTCAGGCGAGCAGAATATTATTTTATTCATCAAGTTCAATAAATTTTAGTAATGAACCTATATGAATACAATATTCTATTTACTACATACCCAAAATAAGAATTGTTTACAGCAGAAGCAATCATTTCTTTTTAAAGTGACGCACACAAATTGAAGCTGACATTACCGTACATTAATTAACGCTTACACTATGTTTTCATAATGCAAGTGACGTACGTCAAAATATATGCACAACTGGGCACTACCATTTTTACGGAAAATGTGCTATTATAGTATATAAAACTTGCAATCAAATAAAATGTTGTTATTGTTGTTGTTTTCCTTTGGCAATTTACAACTTCTATAAGCTTTGAAGAATAACAACATCAGATAATATTTGAATATATTTAAGAGAAAGTTTGTTTTTCTAAAATCATTTTTGTTCGTTAAATGATATGCTTAAATGGAGAGAAATAAATTCCCTAAAGAAAGTCTTAAACGCAATTGAAAATGTTGCAGGCTCGGTTTCACTGAGCCTGTTCATGGACGGTACTTTCAAGTGCAAACTACCGTCCACGCCCCCTAGCCTAGCATCGGCTTAAGCAGTATTCAACATTAAAACAACATGTAATGGTAAAAAGTTAAATTTAGTATCATCCGCAAATGTCTTCATGCGGAGATGATCATGAAACCTTCAATGTACATAGAAACAAATGGACGATTCTTAAAAATCTGGAAAAAGGATGATCCCCCGAACAAAAGTAAATATGTCTTCTTCAAACGTTTCTAATAAAGTTTTGATAGTACAAACCTTAGCATCAGTAAAACTATATTTTATAAGTCAGTATACAGATTAATAATAAAGACAGTTTAAAAGCGCTTTAAAGTTTTAAAGTTTTTTTAATCAAACTTTCCATATTTGTAATTTGATTTTTATATAATCATGATAAAAGTTTCATGTTTAAAAGTAACAGGTGTCATTGAAATAATTTTTCTACATAAAACAATATGATCATCTTAAAGCTTAAAATAATTAATTTTACCTTTATAGCATATGGTCACATCAAATAGTAAAACCATCCTTACTAGAATTAGAATATATATGTATTATTCTAGTTTTAACATGTTTATTGTAATCTTCATCTTCAGTTATCGGTATTGATTTGTAGATATCATATGTTTAAAAAAGGATAAATATTTGATTTAGAATATGAACAGCAAACTTCCCAATAAAGAGGGGTTTAATCCCTCGAAAAATTGGAGGTTGACACACTTTGTTAAATAGATAATTTATAATTAATTTTTTCTTGGGTGGTTTCTTATTGTAGTCTTCGCATCAAATTATATTAAAAAAAGAAAACAAAAATATATTAATAGGAAAATGGTATTTTTGCCGGAGACATTTTCTCTCTTTTTTAGAAATACTCGCATAGAATTAAATCGAGACATTCGCTTTATGATACTTTTACGACCTGACGCATATTTAACAAATTATTGTTATAAAATGCGAAATGGACTTTATTTCGTGAAATGGACATACCGCCTACGTAATGGACATTTGTTTTACAAGTTATGGTCTAACCTTGATAAATAATATCATTTTTATTATTACTTTACGTTTAACATATGACATAAAACTACAGATTGAACTACTTAATATTACCTTAGAAGTTTTTCCTAATTAATATTCACATTTCTGAAAAAGAAATCGTATCTAGCCTCTACGAAATGGATTTTTTGCTAACGAAATGAACATTTGTTTTACATTTTATGGTTTAACTGTTATGAATAGTATCATTTTATTACCTTACGCGTAACATATAATATAAAACTATAAGCTTAACTATGGCATTTATATCATCGAAACGGATTTTTTAAAATCTTATCTAGGCTCTACGAAATGGTACATATTCAAAACAAATAATGATTTTCGTTTTTTATTGGCAATTTAAATATATTTCAATAAGTTAGAAATATATCTTTTAGATTTGTTATTCATTATTAAGTCAAACTTATTAAATGCTGGCCAATGACAAAAATACGGTTGAAGATATTTCATTCTAAGGGCGCGGTATTTTTTAAAAACTTTATTTTCTGATTTCACATGGAAACATTATAACAAAATTTGAGTTCATTTGAGTTTCAGCATTTTATGAATTCGTGAAAATAAATAATTCAACATTTTCTGAAATTGATAGAAATACACATTGTACTCAACATTTTTCAAACACCTAAACAACAAAGTTCTTGTGCAAAATATTTTATATCTATAGATTTTTACGTAAACTAGAACAACATTTTACAAACGTCTGCAAAAAGCAACAATAGTCCGTTAAATTTGTACATACGTCTGAAACAATCATCTTTTCTAATGTTCTTGTTTGTTGAAAAAATAAATTTTTAGTTAGAATGTAAAGATACTTTTAATATTTAAAATTATGCAAAATAACATGTAGAAATTTTAACTGAAACATGAAAAAAAAACTGAAATAAAACACCGTCACCATTTTAATGATGACTTGCTGTTTTCAAAATGACTGACATATGAACTACGTCTGGCTCATTTGAACTGATTTTGACTAAATATATTGTTGTTTCCTTGTGTCATACAGCAGGAAATACCTATATGTTACAGCTTATGACAATTTTTGTGCCATAAGTTTTATGTGTTGTTTTCTTTCTTGCTTCAAATCGTTAAGTACCGTAAACTAAGAGGAGCACAGTATATAACTAGTACTAGTTTCTGGTGTCACACACGAATATATCATATTTTTTTAAGTTCATTTAAACAGACTATAAATGTTTTCATGTAAATAAGCATTGTGTCTATACGCTGTGTGTACATAGAAGACAAATTAGACAATATAACCATTTTATGATTCATATCATCGTTAAGTGATTTACCATTTTTTTTAAAGTGTTATGAACTGAATTCATATAAACAGTTAGATCTTTTATATTAAACAGAAATAATAGCGAGTTTCTGCATTTATACGGACAAACATTATCAATTTAAAAAAGAGACAGTTTTTATATGTCATAGCTCTTAGGATGGTCGTGCCTTTAATTGATTTCTTCTATGAAAATACAATGGTAAAAAGAAAAACTACAACAGACTGTTCATAAAAACTGTTTTGACAATATCTTCTTCTCCTTGACTAGAGGTATAACTTGATATAGCCTCTATTTCAGTAACATTTACATTAAATGATTTCCAATTAGAATAAATATCATGGTGTCATTGAATACAACAGCTGGCATTTGCTAGTGTAAAACAGTCCTGTATTTGATACTTTGGAAAATGAAACCATTGACAGTACTTAGTTTAGGATAGAAGGCAATATGTCACCAAGTATATACGCAAGCGCGGCCAATGTTCTATATTCTTATTTCGTATGTTCAGATTTTTTTATTCTAAAAAAATAAACAAAATAAAAAAAGATAATAAATAAATAAATAACACAAATCTGATCTAAATGAAACCGCAGCAGGACGGAAAAGAATATGTAAATGTTTGAGATGAAAGTATCATATGAAATTGATTTGGGTAAACGTAATAATATAACCAAAACTTGTGTATTTGTCAAAAGTACAGCAATTCCAATCAGAAACGAATGAAAGTTACAAAATGTAAACAAACTTTTATTTGGACTTCCATTCAAAATACTTATTCACTATAATATTATCATTTTTTACTTTTTAAAACAATGGTTAATTTTGCACAGTCATATATCGAATAAGGCAAGTATTTTTTTTTTATTTGAACAAATGTTAAATATAGGAGACAAGACTTTATGATCCCAACGTGCCTGTACAGCAGGTGCCAAACTATTTGACATAATGTATCACTCTCATCAGACGGCTAAAGTAGATGCTTTATAATCGTTTTATAAATCGTTTTCAAGTGGTAATTAAACACGAAATTCTCCAGCATGTACCATATTGGTTCTCACTATAAATAATAGGACCAATTTCCTGACAGAAATAAAGTACGTCCTTCTTCAACAGCAAATAAATCAATTGCCTTAATCGTAGATCGTTTACACTTATATTTCACTTGTAAAATTTAGAAATTTTGACGACCAAAGCATATACATGTATAACAAAAAGTTATATATAAAAACTTCGTGTCACATTATCATCTC